ATTAATCATACATATTAGTGTGATTTATTGTATATTGAAAAACTTCTGACGTGACTCGACACAATAAATATTGAAAAACTATTTTTTACATGTAGTAAGTGTAATTGTTAGCTTTTAAAAAAATCTGACAAAATGTTGTTAATTGGTAGTAACTTTTATATGAAACAATCTACGAAATCGTCTGCTTCCTTCTTTTTGTTTTACTTATTTTGGCATGATAGATGATTGGATGACTGACAAATGCTAGCCGACACCAATTCAACGACTACCAAGTGTCTCTACACTATGACAAATGCCACTAAGAGACTACCATTATCATTTCGTCATTTTCCGACTCATAGGGGTATGAAATTTTCATGAATTTGGAGTTCGAAATTATTGTTTAAGAAAATAAAAATTATTGAAAGTGAATTAGAATATTTGATAAGCTTTATATTGTCTATATAAGATCACTTGAGGTTTTTTCTATATAGCAACTCGGGGGCATTTTGTCAGTATATTATTATTGCCTACAATTAATCATGGAGTACGTGAATAAAACACTACACAACCACGAATCAATTTATCACTCTAAGTGTAGTAAAGGAACATGACTTTTATTAGTATGTAAAGAGAAAAATCCTATCGGGCCTAAACCTCTCATAGGTCCTCCATAACCTGAGTTAGCGGGCTAGACACTGTGAGTGGAGGGATAGGATAAGAGAATCCTCACTTCAAAGTGCCTTTAATAAGGTTTAATCCCACAACCTTAAAATTGAGAGATAATAACCTTATGTCCTTACTGGTTACCACTAGTCCAAGTAAAATAGAGAACATCAATTTGCTTACACATGACCCCCTCTACCTGAGGTTCGTAATATCAAAAACAAAGTCCGATCGATTCCGTTCCCACGAGGCGCACACACTTGCAACCACCAACTAGTCACACGTAGGATTGACCTTAACTATAGTTGTACAGTTAATTGAATTGTCCTAGTAAACCAAATTCGTAATTTTGACAGAATTTTCATTGAAGAAATTATTCTGCTCTTTGAGAACATGTACACAGAAGACGTTGTAAGCTTTTGTTATATTGGAACAAAATGACCATACATTAATGGTAAAGATAATTTGATCAATTGTTTGAGTGCATGGGGAGTATAATATTTGGAAATTATTTCCTATTTATTATATTATGACTAGCTAAGGTTGATTAGTTGCCCATAAAATAGGAATGACACATTGGACTTCAATTTCTATTGGTAATTCTTTGAATACTTGCATATGCACCATAACATTATTATTAGCAATTTTAACCTGCATAGGATTATTAGAATATTTTCATAAGAATTTTGGAAATCAGGATCTTTTTCTAAAACATGTAGAACAACTACTATTAATGTATGCAAACAACTTCTATTTATGATATTTTATTATAAGTTTCCATTTGCATGTTTACTTCAACTTTATCATATCATCTTTATCATATGCTGGTTCACTCACATTTTTGGTCTTATATCCAATTACCTTTCTTTTTTCAATAATAGGATTATTTGGATCTTCGTTTATTTATAAATTAGAACATGAACCAATATATATGCTATGTCTAGCTAGTTGTTTTAAGGGTTTGTAGTTTCATAATTTTCTTTTAGCTTCTTTATTAAGGCAAGTAACTCTTCTTCATCTTCTTTTAGCTTAGTTTTTCATTGACGTGTTTTTTCATCTTCATCATACTTGAGTTTTGTCTACTTAGACTTGGTGATCTAAGGCTTTGTTTGGATAACTAAGTGCGAGGGAAAAGAAGGGGAGGGTGATGAAGGGAGGGAAGAGAGAGGAAGGGGAGGGGAAAATGATGAGTTTTCCTTCTAAATCTCTCCATTGTTGGAGAGATCAATTTCTCACAAATTAATCCCTCCATTTCTCTCCCCTTCAATTCCCTTCATTTCTCATTTGTTATCCAAATGAAGGATACTCCATCCCTCCATTTCTCTTCCCTCTCTTTCCCTCCATTTTCTTTAATCCAAACATAGGGTAAGAGTTAGACTTCTTTGCATCCTAGTTAGGGTTCATAATTATCCCATGATGAAGGAATTCTGACTCATCAATTAACAACTTACTTGACTTATATTATTAAGAGCAGGATTCATACATAATGCTTTAAAAAAATTTCAATTCCGATTGTATTAGGATTTACCTTTACATGAGTAATTTTCTTCTTTGTTTCTTGAAAGATGAATCTACAGTGTTAACCAACTTATAGACTACCTTCCATCTTAATTGTAAGGGTCAAGTTCCTTTATGCATTTTTACTCCATCAGTTAATAGCTAAAAACTTTGAAGCATATGAATTTTCTAAGCTCACATAATATCTAGGTTCACATATATAGCTTACAATTCCTTGACTTAAATTACATGTAATACTGATAATTGTTTGATTATACGTTTCTTTATGTCTTATATTACAAACAAAGCTTAACATTTGACATCTTTGCCTAAGTCTTGACATTTTTTTTTTATCTTATGCTGGACTATCTTACACCAACATGGTGTTGGGATCAGATTTCCCCTTTATCAATTAATCAAAAGCCTTAATCCCATAAGAGGGGCTCGGCTACAAGAACCAAAAGTGATTATTATTACGCATGATGCAATGGAGTTCCAAGCTAACCGAGGATCTATGTTCGGTCAAATTGAGTGTCCATAGGTACCACAGTTAAGGATTTTGGTGCGAAAGCAAGACAACCTATCTTTTGAGGGTCTTCGCTTTCGGATTGATCCAAGGGTTCGAACTTGATTTCGCGACTTGATAGATTTAACATCTAAAATCGACCCTTATTGCCCCGAGCGTTTTCGGATCAATAAAACATAAATCCCTATGGTTAACCACGTACGTACAACATGTACTTGTGTGGCAAAAAAAAAGGTAAACTAATTCGACGTATTTTGGAGATTTCAAATCATGATATCCCCCAATACAGATTAATTACTCTAATCTAAGTAACCCAGAATTCTCCAAGCGTAGTTAGCCTTTTCTTTTTTTTTTTTTTTTTTTTTTTGAGAGAGACAAATTGTCAGCCAAATTGTATACACATAAATACATAATCCATAAAAAAATAAAAATAAAATATGTCAATGGTAAAATTACAGTGGTGCCCTTAATTACTCTTGCGTGTCGGTGTATTTTCTTCTTTCAATTTCCTATTTTCCTCCCATTTAATTTCTTAGTTTCAGAAAAACAAAAAATTCTCTCTATTCTACTTTTTTTTTTTTTAAATCATTCTCTCTTTTCTACAGTTCTACTCACGCAACGAAGATCAAGTTCATCGATGGGTATCAAATAAGACTTTCTACCTTCAAATTCAACATTTTTTATGATTTTTGATATTGTTCTTGATTATTTTAGTTCGAAATTTATTGCTTAAATGTATAAGTCAATCAGAATCAAAATGTCGTGGGACGTCGATTCTTGAACTTTTTTTAATTGAATCGATTAATTTCTATTTCAGAACTGTTTTGAATGATTCTGGGGTTAATAAAAATGGCAATAATTGAGAGAATATAGAGGTATACCGTTTATCTTTTGGTTTTGTACTATTTCTATTTTTTTAGGGAAATTCCCATTGATACACTCCAGGTATTGACTTTTCTTAGCGGTACCACATTTTTTTTTTGACTTCCTGCTGATACACTTGAGGTTTTGACTTTATAATTGACGTGATTAAGTCTGTTAATAAGACGTTAATAACTTAGTAATTCTAGGTTAAAAGCTGAGATTAGGTGAAAAGACTAAAACGCCCCCTTTTAATCCTTCCCTCCATCACCCATAATTAAACCCCTTCCATTTATGTCGATTTGACACAAAACAAACTCCTTGTTCAAATTTCATCTCTCTCTCCTCTGCTCTCTGCATCATTCACGACGAAGTCCAAGGGTTTTGCAAGGGAATTGCGCTGATCTTTTTGGTCTACAAAATCATTAGAGGATAATCTAGCACAATTCACGTACTTTAGCACTACTACTGTTCATTTTTGCATGATTTGGTGCAGTTGTGATGCTCTTTTTTCTTTGCGATTTTAAGTTAAATTCATGATGTAAATGTTGTATATTTGTGCGATTTTAGGGTTTTTTTCAGGTATATTAGGTGCGTGATTATGTGTGTTCAATTATTTATGTAGAGTATGTATTTAATTTGGATGAAATGGCATGATCCTGTTTCATTGATTTACTTGAATTGGAATGTATTTGCTTATTTGATTGATTGTTGGATACCTGAATTGGGATTTATGTGCATGTTATAGGTAATTGGATACCTGATTTGGAATTTAATTTGAATGTTGTGGATTGTTGGATATGATTTTGAATTTATATGCATGTTGTAAGTGTGTATACTGTTTACCTTCTTTTGCAGAATGGGTGATGTTGTGTTAAGGTTTCATTACTTTGATAAGCATGTTGATCTTGCTGTTGACTTAGATAGATGTAATTTGCTTGATTTGGTTATGGATTTTGAGGACACTGCTGCAGTAGACTCTGAGTTTCCTATAGTCAACCCATCATTTGGTTATGGTTTCAATGAAAAGAATCACCCTTTACTAGATGATGCTGATCTTTTTAAGATGATTCACACCCTAGGTGAGTGTGAGATTTATCACATTTGGGTAGGTTTTGCTAAGAAACCAAGTGCCTTGAATAGAATGACCAATAGGCTAAGGAACAAGTCCAAATTTGCACAACCTTTTGCTGCTCCTTCCCAATCTGAACCACCCCATATTGATCAACCTTCTGATACTGCACCCTCAAATGAACAACCCCCTCAAATTGAAACAGATCAACTTGTTCCTGAAACTGAACCTCCCCTTTTTGACCCTTCCCAAACTGAACCTCCCCTTTCTATTGAGGATATCAACCTTAATAATGAGTCCTCTCCACCTAGGTATACTTAGGGTTATGAGTCACCCCAAGATGAAACAAATCAATCTGCTACTGAGTATACCAAGGGTAGAAAAGAGTTTGAGAAAAGTATGGAAAAGATAGAGAATTCTAGGAAGGTTAAGGGTGCAGCAAAGGGTAAGAAGAAAGCTACAACTAAAACATCCCCAATGCAACCACCATCTCCCAAGTCTCCAAACACAGTTGTTTTGGGTGTTTTTGTCCCTCGGGAGAGTTATAACACGAAGACTGATCCTGGGTGAGCTGTACCTGCAAAACAAACGGAGACACCAGTTGGGTGGTGCTCCGCCTCCGACGCACAAGTTAGAAACTTGAAGGGAGAAAAAAGGTGCGGAAATTTAGGTGGGGATCTGCTCGGATTCAAAGCTCAGGATTTCTCTATCAAAGAGTAAAATGTGTAATAAATGGTAAAACGTGTCCTCAAAATGAGGGACATCTCCCTATTTATAGGGTCTTTGGGAATTGTGCCTCTGATTAGGTTACTGAACCCTAATCAATGGTGGGCTGCGCCGTTTGGCGGCATTCTCGGGATTTGTGCCTGAAGGCCGCCTTTTCCCTAAATTTCGGGAATGACACGTGTCGAGCAGGGATTAGTCCTTTTTAGACCAATCTGGGGCTGACACGTGTCACCTTCTGATTGGGCCACGTGACAGAGTAAAATTACCCTAAACATTTGCCCCTCACAGATGTGACGTGGCACACCACGTGGCATCTGTGACACATGTCACGCTCTGGCTGGCGGTAATTTTACCGTTACAGAGTAACCGTTCATCTTCCGGGTAAATTACGAAAATGCCCCCAAATTTACCCTCTATATATAGCCGTTTTACCCTCATAATTTTGTACGTTTACAAAAATTTTCTAGAGAGAAACTTCGAGAGAGCAGAAGACATCCGTTTGAGTCAGGCGCGAGCAAGAAACTTTGTTCTTCCGCAACCCAGCCGGGCCTGCCTTCCTTCAGATATCAAATCCAAAGGTACCGTCTCTGTCTCTCTCAGCTCTTTTCTTTTTTTCACCGTTTGTACATATTTCTTGCAATAAATGGATGCATCACCAACATACACGGCACAACCTAGGTTAGAGTCCAGCCGGTCACCAGGGACGGCTGAGTCTAGGACTGGGAGTGCCGGCTCGGGGTGTTGGGACCACCCTTTGCCATGGATTCCGACCAGTTATGTGTCTGTGCAGGACACCATGGCTCGGACAATGCAGACGGCCACTGATCCGAATTATAGAAGCGAAGGCTCAGGCGGCCAAACGCCTGAGGGAGAATCGTCTGGTCAGGGAGACCAGACGGCTCTGGAGAGATCCCCTCCGCGCGCCCCTTCAACCCCTGCTGACTCTTTCTTGGAAGAGTGTGACCAAGGCGGCGACGAGGCCGCCTCTGCCCCCATGGACCAAAGCGAGGGGGAGACGGAGAGCGACAGCTCCGCCTCTACCTCCGAGAGCAGCGATGACTTGCCCCCTCTTCCGGATAGCGAGGAGGAAGAAAGGAAAAAATGGAATGAGAAGGACGATCCCTTCAGCATCCACGTCTCCTCCAAGGACCGAATCCAGATGGGGGAGAACTTGGGGAACTTTAAGAAAATGCACCCGCTTGGAGACGGGTATAAGATCCGGGTGCCGCCTGAGTTGGGCACCATCGCTTGGGGGGATGATCAAGAGAACGCCAACAGCTATTTTGGTTGTTATGAGGCGGCGTTCAAAGTCGGCCTTCGCTTCCCCCTTCACCATGCGGTGAAGGAAATTATGAGAGGCTACGACCTTGGGGTCTGGCAACTTACCCCCAACTCCTGGACCAACATTCTGGGGTATGTTTCCGCCTGCGAGTTCCAAGGGCTTAACCCCGGCTGGGAGGCCTTTGCAAGCATGCATTATCTCAGCAGAAGCCTAGGCGGCTGGAGGGCGTGGTATACTCTAACCACACAGCCGCAATACCTGATGACCTTGGACAAGGTCTCCAAGTTCGATGGCTGGAAGCACAGGTTCTACCTGATGTCAGCCCCAACCAGACGGGAAAATTATGAATTCCGTCTGTACAATAAGAAGCCCGACTTGTTGGGCAGGAAGTGCGCTCTTCCCCGGATCCCAGAGGAAGACTTTGACAAAATAATCGAGGCATACTTTTTCGGCCTCACAGACGCAACTCTGTCAACCGGGGAAACAATAAAAGTCCCTAAGAATTAGATTCCCAAGAGCGCCTGGTTCAGGGATGAATGTTTCCTAGCCGCCTGCGGGCTAGGGCACATGTTTAATAAACGTATGCGCCTGGGTTCACACCATCTGTAGTATTTTTCTATCGGAATTGATTTATGATTCTGATCAATTTCCTTCTTTTTTGCAGAAGAAGCGCTGAACATGTTGCAGTCGGAGAAAACTCCCAAGCGGTCTTCTGCGACCATCCGCAAAGATCTTGCGGAGAAAGCTGCGGCCGAGCTCAGGGCCAAGGTATTGAGCGCCTGACCCTTTCTTAAATTTATTTTATAAACTGTCTTGCCCGGATACTAACCTTTACTTGTGTATTTTCACAGGGGGGAGAATTTGGGAAATCGTTTGAGAAGAATCTCAAACGGGCTAGAGAGGAGGCCCCAGCCGTTCTCAATAAAATAAAAAAGTCCGCCTCTGCGTCAACTCCTGGCGCCTCAGCCGGGGCTAAGACGATGCGGATAGCGGGGCGACTCGAGAAGGTAGGCGGCAGCGTGTGCCTTGATCTTGTCAACCCCTTATCAGCAGCCACGGGGTTCACCACGCCTGCAAGCGTTTCCCGCTTGGCCGGCTCTGAAGGTAAGAACCCTTTTGAATCCCCACTTGAGCTGGGGTGGCCTTTACGGGTGAAATCCCACTCCCAACAGACATCATCCTCAGACGGTCGGCAACAGATAGGTGCTGCCTTAGTTTCGCACTCATCACGTGTTGATTGTGGTGCAGATCAATCTCCTCGCTGGTCAGACGTCCAGAAGCACGCCAAGGCCATGCTGAATGCCGTCCGGAAGAGGGATAAGGACAATATCCCTGGATAGAGACGTTCAATCTTGAACGCATTCTATCCCTTCTGGCTGAGGAAAGAAACTTGTCAATTCAATGTTATTTTTTCCAATTAATTATCCCGCCTGTAATTCTTATACCGCCTGCTTTTGCAGGCCATGCTGCGGGTGGACGGGCTCAAACGTCCTTATTCCCGCAAACGGGAAGAGGTAAAAAGGGCCAAGAAGTCCGCCATAGACGCTGATAATATTGCTTTACACTCGACTATCGTAAATGAACTTGAAACTAAAGCAATAATTATGACACAGGCGTCTAAAATCCAGCAGCTGGAGCTAGATCTGAAGGCGGCCGACCAGCGGGCAACGGATGCTGAGACGGCCAAGAAGGGGGCGGAGGAGGCCCAGAAGAAGGCAGACGAGAACGCCAAGCAGGCTGATGAGGCACTCAAGAAGGCCCAGGCGGACCTTGGCAAACTGAAAGCCAAGGTTGAGAGGCTGGAGAAGGATGCTGCTCAAGCTCAGAAAAACTTTGCAACAACCCTGGAGGCGGAGCAAAACCGCCTTGTTGCTGAGTGTGATGCTGACAACGACGCCTGTATGAAGATTGCTTGGGCTGCCTTGTACCCAGAAGCTGATTATAGCATCTAGGCAATGGCACACAGCTATGCCGAGTACGTGGTGTACTTGAGAGAGCAAGGTGAGCCTGGCTCAGCAACAGTGAGCCAACCGCGCCTGAGCTTCCTGGTCCCGGCGAAGCGCACCAAGTTCCCTCAGATGATGAGGAGAAGGGGGAGAACTAGGAGGCTCCGTCCGCAAGCCAGAAGTGACCCCTCAGCGACAGTATGCCAGTTTGCTTTTTTAATTTTTATTCAGCGGCTGTATGCCAAAACTTGCTTTTTCCGGCCTGCGTGCCGAGTATTTGTGTTTTTACCGGCTATGGAGCCGGGTTAATTAACAATTTCTTTCTCTCGGACGGGGTCCGGTTAACATTTGATCCATTACAACCGTTTGGTTGGATGGACTTTTATGAATTGCACCGACTAGGTCGGTTTTGATCATTTAGCATTTGAATTTTTGTTTTTTGCAAATTTTAATTTTTGCCTAACTTATTGAAAGCATGCGGCGATTTCTTGCCTAACTTATCAAAAGAATGCGGCGATTTCTTGCCTAACTAATCAGTAGTCCGGCTGTCCTTGCCCCTGGACGGCTCTGTGATTGGTTTCAATTGGAGCTGGTTGATTGACTTGAAAACGTCTGATGCTGCAAAGAGCATGATATGTTTTTAAGTCAATCAATCACAGTAGTGATTGCCCCAAACCAAGTGCACAGCCGTACACAACCAGGCGTTTCAGTCACTACACAGACGGCTTATGCCCGTCTTGGTAGAGATTTCATAGCCATTGAACTCTTGCCCCAATTGGGGTGAGGTGCAATTTTAAAATAAATAACCTAAGTGAGAACTTCAGCCGGTTACCGACTGATACCTATGGGCATCCGGTATTTAGGAACTTATTCGTTCTTCGTAGGTTATTTTAGTTAGACGGCTATGAGTTGACCAATTTGGTCGTTCAATTTTTGCCGTCTATATGGATACGTAGAACCGACAGATAATCTGTTCTCTGCAACGATTGCACCCGGAGGGGTGTCGCCGGACGCCTTTGTCCATGTTGGGACAGGCGATTTTATAAAAATAGCAACCATCTGGCCATTTTAGCCTCTGGTCCTGTTTAAGACCGGTTGTGTAGCCACTAAACGTTTTTGTGCTTAGTTTCTTAATCAGTGTTGAATTTACACTAAGTATCGAACTTAGTTTTTTAAGCATATGAGTCTGTCTGTGTAATATCCAGACGGACAGACAAATATTTGATCATACTAAGTATCAAACTTAGTTAGATAAATGGAGAATCCGTCTGAGTATTACCCAGGCGGATAGTCGAGCCGTTGAATAAACAAAGTATCAAACTTAAATAAACAAGAGATCCGAGTATTACCCAGGCGGACTAACAAATGAAACCTTCACTAAGTATCGAACTTAGTTAGGTAAATGAGGAATCCGCCTGAATATTACCCGGATGGATAATCAAACGATAATTTTGCAAACAAAGTCTGAATCTTCATTAACTGACTCACTGTTTACAAAAAGTTTACATTCTCAGAAGTAGTACTTTTTTAGATTGTCTACATTCCAAGTTCTAGGCAGGCGCCTGCCGTCTGGAGTTTCCAGGCGGTAGGTGTCGTCCCTTACTTCTTCATAGATCCGGTAAGGGCCTTCCCAATTTGGGGTTAGCTTTCCCAACTCATTGGCCCTACCGGTTGCCTCCATTTTTCGTAACACTAAGTCGTCAACTTTCAAGGGACGCTTGTGTACTTTGTTGTTGTAGGCTCTCGTCATTCTCAGACGGTAAATCTCATGACGCAAGGCGGCATTGCCCCTGTGTTCTGGGAGTAAATCCAATGCCAGGCGCATTGCTTCCCAGTTTGCCTCTTCATCATACAGCATGACTCTGAGAGTTGGCTCGTAATGTTCGATGGGCAAGACGGCTTCAGCACCGTAAACCATGAGAAATGGGGTTTCACTGGTTGCCCCTTTCGTTGTTGTCCGGATGGCCCACAGGACATGGATTAATTCTTCTGCCCATAAGCCACCAGCTCTTTCTATTTTCTTTTTAATGCCGTCTGAGATGAGTTTGTTGAAAGCTTCAACTTGGCCGTTTGCTTGGGGCCGGCCAACAGATGCGAAATAGCTTGAGATCCCCTGATCTCCCAACCAAGTTTTTAGCTGAGGCGTCTCAAACTGAGGACCATTATCGAAAACCATAGACATGGGTACCCCGTACCGGGTGATAATGTTCTTCCAGATGAAGGAAATTACGTATGAGGTCTTGATGTTTTTAACCGCCTCAGCCTCAACCCATTTGGTGAAGTAATCCACAGCCACTAAGATATAGCGCTTACCGCCTGGAGCAGGCGTGTAAGGACCTAGAATGTCCATGCCCCATTTTGCAAACGGGATTGGGCTGTGGATGGCCGTCAGATCAGTAGCCGGACGATGAATGAGTTTGCCAAATTTTTGGCACTTGTCATATTTCTTCACCAACTCCTTGGCGTCCGCCTCAAGAGTGGGCCAAAAGTAATGTCGTCTGGCTCTGACGGCTAGGGACCTGCCGCCTATGTGAGAGGCGCAGAATCCCGAGTGCAAGTCTTCGAGAACTTCTTTCCCCTTTTCTGGGGTGACACACTTCAACAAAGGCTTCAGAAACCCCGCCTTGAAGAGTTCTCCATTTTTCAACTCGAATCTTGCAGCTCGCTTTTGCAGGACGACTGCTTCCTGTGGCGAATCAGGAAGTGTGTCGTCTGAGAGATAGGCCCGGATGCCATCCATCCAGGTAGAGCTTCGGTCCTGAACTCCAATGGGATCCTCATAGATGCTTCTCTTTTCAAGAACTTCCTAGAAGACTGACCGAGGTGTATCATGGCAGGCAGAAGATGCCAGCTTTGACAATGCATCCGCCTAGTTGTTTTCCGACCTAGGCACCTGATTCAGCCGGAATTCCTCAAGTGCCTTGGTCTCTTGTTTGACTTCCTAAAGATATTTAATCATAGCCGGATGGGTAGCCTCATAACTTCCCTCATACTGGCTAACAACCAATTGAGAATCAGAGTAGGCGTCAACTTTCATGGCCCCTGCCGCCTTACACATGCGTATGCCGGCTAGCAGGGCTTCATATTCCGCCTCATTGTTAGAGGCCTGAAACTTGAAGCGTAGTGCATATTCAAATCTGTCTCCTTCAGGAGACTCATAAATTACGCCTGCACCACAACCGTTCTTTGTAGAGCTCCCGTCCACGTAAACTTTCCAAACCTGAACAAGATTATCCGGAGCCACCGGACGAGTCATTTCCACAATGAAGTCGGAAAACGCCTGACCTTTCACTGCCTTTCTTGGTTCGTAAGTGATTTCAAGGCTCTGCATTTCAATAGCCCATTTCAACATTCTCCCGGATGAGTCCAAGGTAGACATTGGCCGCTTGAGTGGCTGGTCTGCGTAAATCACCACCGGATGTGCCAAAAAGTAAGGCTTCAATTTTTTGAATGCCATATACAAAGCGAGGCCAAATTTTTCAACCATGGGGTACCAGAGTTCAACATTTTTAAGAACATTGCTAATGAAGTAAACCAGGAGCTGCACGCCGTCTCGCTCAGCAAGGAGAACGACACTGAGGGCATGGTCTGAGACGGCTAAATACATGTACAACGTCTCCCTAGGCAAAGGACTGACCAACCTAGGCAGAGAATGTAAATGCTCTTTCAACCTCTGGAACGCCGCCTCAGCATCATCCCCCCATTCAAATCTGGTCTTCTTCCTGATTGCTTGGAAGAAGTAGAGGCATTTATCACCTGACCGGCTGAGGAACCTCCCCAGGGCGGCCAGACAACCGGTGAGTCTCTGAACTTCCTTAACAGAGCGGGGTGACTTCATGTCAATCATCGCCTGTATCTTTTCGGGGTTAGCCTCTATCCCCCTTTGATCAATCAGGAATCCGAGAAACTTCCTAGACTCAACACCAAAGACGCATTTCTTAGGATTTAACATAACCTTATGCCGCCTGAGGGTGGTGAATGTTTCTCGGAGATCAGCAAGATGATCCGTCTGTAGCTTGGATTTGACTATCATGTCATCAATGTACGCCTCCACATTCCTCCCAATTTGATTAATGAAGACCGTATTAATCATCCGTTGGAAAGTGGCAGGCGCATTTTTCAAGCCAAACGGCATCACAGTATATCAGAATAGCCCCTGATCAGTGACGAAGGCCGTTTTCTCTTGATCTTTCTTCCACAGGGGTATCTGATGGAAGCTGGAGTAGGCATCCATAAAACTCATCAAGGCGTGACCGGCTGTAGAATCAACCAGACTGTCGATCTTTGGAAGCGGATAACTGTCCTTTGGACACGCCTTGTTGAGGTATGTGTAATCAACACACATGCGCCAGGTCCCATTCGGTTTCTTCACAAGGACTACATTGGCCACCCAGTCGAGGAAATTACAAGGCCGAATGAACCTGGCGTCTAGCAGCTTTTTGACTTCGGCAGCTGCCGCCTAACTTCTTTCCTCGCCGTGGTTTCTTTTCTTTTGCCGGATGGGCTTCTTTTTGGGGTCCACGGCAAGTTTATGGACAGCAAGATCCGGGCTGACGCCTGAAATCTCTTCCACTTCAAAGGCAAAAATGTCTTTGAATTCTTTCAGCAGAAGGTGCAAGCTTGCACCCAAGGTAGCATGAGCAACCGTCCCAACCTTAACAGTGCGTTCTGGACGGCTGTCGTCCAGTACGAGATCAATGCTTTCGCCAGCCGGTTGGGGACGGAGCTCATCTGACCGTTCACCGGTCAGTGATTGCTATTTTTTCTCTTTTTTCACCTCCACCAGCAGAGGTGCCTTTCTTTTCTTTCCGGCTGCTGATGGGGCAGGAGCTGGATCGGCATCCTTAACGTTGTCAAGGTCTATTGGTTCCTGACCGCCTGGGGCCACGGTATCTCGGACGACTGAGAGATAACATTCTCGGGCCGTCTTCTGATCCCTATTCAAGGAACCAACAGAGCCGTCATCCCTCTCATACTTGATGAGCATGAGGGAAGGGATGATTACT